ACGAACTAGATAAAAGTGGTTCTACTAAAATAAAATACAAACACGAGTATTAAAACATAAATAACGATACGGTTACAAATAACAAACTAAAAAATTATTTATTCAACCGCATTATGACGAAAGTTCTGCCATATGTGCTCCACTAAATCTTGTTTCAGAGATGAATGAATTTCTCTATCACGAAGGGAAATCCTTCTCTCCAAATACGTGTTGAAATCAATGTTGGGTGGTCGCCCGACGTTGAATTCAAATGGCTCGTTGTTAAACACCGTGGCACTTGTGCTCGGGTCTGCCCGCCTCACCGTACGTTGTGGTCGATCTTCTTCGTAGAATCGTCTCAAAACATCTGCACGTGCGTAGTTGTGTCGTTCATCCTCGACGATCATGTTGTGCATTATTATACAGGCTTTCATAATATCACAGAGAATATCTTCGTCGTATGCAAGTGCTGGTTGTCGTAGTATAGCGAACCTAGCTTGTAAAACTCCGAAAGCCCGTTCGACGTCTTTCCGAACTGCTGCTTGTTGATCAGCAAACAACTTGTCTTTTCTAACATGAGGATGTGTTATACCCTGTATAAAAGTTGGCCATCTTGGGTAAATCCCATCGGCCAAGTAGTAGCCCAACTCATATTGATGTCCATTAACCGTAAAATTTATGGGTGGTGCATGACTTTGTAAAACATCATCAAATACCGGTGAACGGTAAAGGACATTCAAATTGTTACATGACCCAGGCATTCCAAAGAACGCATGCCAAATCCATAGATCCTGATCAGCAACAGCTTCAAGAATGAGAGTTGCACTCTTGCTACGACCAGCATATTGTGCCTTCCAAGCAGTAGGACAATTCTTCCACTCCCAATGCATGCAGTCTATACTACCAATCATCCCTGGAAAACCACGCAGATCATTTTGATGAAGGATTCTCCTTAAATCTTCATCTGTAGGTTTTCGTAGATATTCACTTTCAAATTGTGAAATAACCCCTTGACAGAAATGTTGCAATGCCTGCCTAGAGGTTGTTTGGCCGAGACGTAAATATTCATCCACAGCGTCTGCGGCTACGCCATACGCTAACATTCTTATTGCAGCGGTGCATTTCTGCAACGGTGATAAACCAAGCTTCCCAGCTGCATTTCGACGTTGCTAGAAGAATTGATCCCCCTCAACCACTTTGCTCATAATGCAGCAGAACAATGACCGTTGCATACGGAATCTACGTCGGAATTGGTTGTCGTTATACACTGGATTATTCGCGAAATAATCGTTGTATAGTTGCACATGCCCTTTTTCTCTTTCCCTATCCCTTTTGGGCTCCGTTGATAGTTCAGTTTCATTATTTAGTGGAGGTTCTTGTGGTTGGTCCGGAGGAAGTAATCTATGAGGTAGGTGATTTGCTACATACTCATCAACTAAGCAATCAAATTCATGATTTTTGGAGAAATCATCAGAAGAGGAGCTTGAGGTGGAAGAAATGAAAGACATTTTTATTTTGGTTAGGTAGTTGGTGTGTTTGGGATTGTTTCCGTTTATAATAACACAGGTATATATAGAAAATGTGAAAGTCATTATTGGATGGTAGTGGTAAGTTTGCATGTGAGTTAAAGTGGAATTGAAATTGCATGTGACTCGAGGTGACAATTCAATGCATTATTTTAGCATGTGATTGTGCAGTGTTATTGATGTTTGAGCAGAGGTGACAATTCAGTGCATTACTTTAGCATGTTGTGCAGTGTTATTGATGTTTGAGCAGAGGTGACATGTGACGCGTGTCAGATTGTATCTTTATCAGATATCAGCTTTATCAATTTCAAATTACTAAGAAAACATGTGAATTAACTGAATATTAATAATAAATTTAACATTACATAAACATAAATTTAACATAAACTAAATAAACACTAGTACATTAAATTAACTGAATAAAACATAAAGTTAACATTAACTAAATAAAACATAAGCCAAATCTCCAAGTCACACGTGCCTTTTACCATATAGCATTGCACGTAATTCCTCCTTGTAGGCCTCTTCATCGGGAGTTAGATCAGTACCCTTTGAAAGTAGATCTTGCAGCATTTCATAGTTCAGCCTTCTCTCTTGTATGTCAACTTGTTTTTGTTGAATTTCGACTTGTTTTTGTTTCCTCCTCTCCCTTTCCATGTCAAAATCCAACTTCTTCAACCGTATTTGTGCCTCTGTTTCCCTACAGGCATTATTCTGCTTCATTTGCTCACCAATGGTTGAAGAATCAGAAGCCACTTCTTTTCCCTTATTACGCTTGGCCTTTGCCTTTTTAACACCATCGGGTCGAGGAAGACCTCCAGAACAGAAACCCGTGGATGGTGTATCACCTTCCTCTACGGTTCTACATCGCTTATCACTGCCACTACTATCATCTTCGACGGCATCACCTACAACTAATCTTTCCTCTCTTGACAACGCCCACCTAAGTTTTGTCCTCCACTTTGGGTCATTTTTAACCATTTCCCAACCATGGTGACAATTAAAATTATGTTGAGTAGGCTTGGAGGAAACATAGAATAACTTACTGGCGTTATTAATTCGATCTGCTTCGTTGTAGCCACTTCCTGTAACCCTTCCTGCTTCGTCATAGCAGCTACTCCATTGTATTAAATCAGCTGCCATCCTTCTCCAACGACTTTCCAAACTCCTCAAAGGTCTTGGTGGTAGAATGTGAGGTTTCTCAGCCTGCGCTTCATCATATGCCGCTGAAATTTTTCTCCAAAGCACAGATGCTTTTTGGTTTGTACCAACAATTGCATCTTCACTGAATTGCAGATACAAACCAATAAGAGTTTCATCCTCCGCAACAGACCACATTCGACTCCCTTTTGTAAGTGGTTGGTTTTGATTGACAGACACTCTTGGAGGAGGTGGAGGGTATTGTGGAGTATCTGGAACACTTTCTTCCATTTCATCTTCATATTGAGAATTGCTCCCTTGATAAACAGGAGGTGAATGTGGTGGTGGAAATTGAGGAGGTGTTTGTTGTGGTGGAAATTGAGGAGGTGTTTGTTGCGGTGGATATTGAGTAGCTATTCGTTGAAGGAAGGTTTGAAATCGAGGGTTAGTGACAAAATCATCACCCAAATCAGAAAAATAATTAGAAAAATCTGGTTTGTTAGGATCCATTAGCAAAATAATAATAATAATAATAATGATAATAATAATAATAATAATAATAATAATAATAATAATAATAATAATAATAATAATAACAATAACAATAACAATAATAATAATAATAATAATAATAATAATAATAACAACAACAACAATAATAATACTACTACTTTTTTTTGACAATATAATAATACGATTTTTTTCAAGGATTAATAAATTTAACAGAAATAATAATAAAGAAATTATTAATAATAATAATAATAATAATAATAATAATAATAATAATACCAATAAAACTACTACTTTTTTTAAATTAACACTACTACTACTACTACTAGTAATAATAATAATAATTATAATAATAATAAAAATAATAATAATAATAATACTAAATAATAACTGAGGTTTTTTTTTTTTTTTACGAATAATAATAATAATAAAAATGATGAAAATAACTCAAAGAAATTGGGAAAAGAAGGAAATTTGTAGTATTTATAGGTTTTTTGAAAGTATATCAAAATATATCAAAATGCATGTCTATTTATAGAGAAAAAAAAAATCTATCCGTTGGTGAATTTTGTTTTTTTTTTTTTTATAATTACAACGGTTATATTTAACTTACAAAAATATAACCGTTGTAATAAAAGCAAAAAAATCTGATTGGTTGGAAGGATAAAGCCTGACGCGTGTCGCATCCCCATTGGCTGGGTCTGACGCGCGTCAGGCCAGCTGCCCCCTATTTTTTTTTCCCTTTTTGCCCCTCAAAACGGCGTCGTTTCGCCCTTCTTTAAGGCAAAACGACGTCGTTTTGCAAGCCAGAAGGGAAAAAAAAAAGCGAAGACGCGTGTACGAGTGGGGCCCACTTGTTACTGTTCACGAGTATTTCCCCTCAACTCTTGTGCGTTTTCCATAGCTCTCAACGGTGAGGGTTTTTTCCCTCACTAACGTAATGCTTGGGTATTTTTTTTACACCCTTATTTTTACTCGTGAGGGCTTTTCTCCTCACTGCTGTGAGTGCTCTTACCGATTTTTTGTTATACTTAATATCTTTTTTCGAAAAAGATTGTCTTATTTGACTTTATTAGCCCCACATTACATTATATTTCAAATGTAATGATTGACTATTATTTTTTAGCATTATAGGGAGTTGAAGTAAATCTTTATAGAAATGCCCTGCAAAGAAGATACTTGAAATATATACAAAAGCAGGTAAGAAATCACTTTTAGTAATGTGGGTCCTATATGCAAATATAAAAAGTCTTATCTAATGTGTATGTGTAGATATATGACACTTCTACTTTTTTATTATTAAACTTTGACAATATATTTTATTGCTCTGAGAAGCATATAATAATATTTTCTCTATTTTTTTTTGTTTGATTCAATTTGATTTAATTTTTTACGCTATTTACACATCATTGTTTGATCATCACTTGTGATTTATAGGTAAGAGAAAACATAATTATGAGATTTTATTAAAGATCACCTTAATAAATGCTATCATAATATTCATTTATTTATTTAATTTTTTAATTATAAAATATATTAATGGTTAAATTTATGCATTGACAATCATAATAAATGAAATAGGTCAAATATATGAATAAAAGATATCTCTTAATTGATAAACAGTAGTATCACATGTATTATGCTGAATAATATCCCTTCTTTTTCACATACGCACACGCTAAAAAAACAATAGGAAAAATATTTTAATTGATTTCCAAACCATCAATGGAACAATTAATAATTTATCTACAATAAATAAATTGATACTCTCATGTATATGTAATAATAATAGAAAGATAATAATAAATCACGCATAACATGAAATAATCAAACAAAAATGGAAATGAAGGATATTAAAATCACCGGTATAAATAAAGTTGATACAGAGTATGTTTTGACCATCAAAATCAAATATCACGTGCTAATATGATATGAAGGGGATGGAGAAGTAGTAGCACATGGAAAATTATATTATTGGTTTACCGGGAAAAGGTGTTATTATCAGTTTCAGAGTGAGGTGGGAAAAAAGAGAGAAAAGCTCTACCCTACAAATACAAACAACAAACAATTTCCTACATTACCATTTTATTTACATAATATAATTACATGAAATAAAATAAATAAAGAAAAACCACCACACCCAACCCATTCTTTCTTCTTTTTCTCACATATTTTTTTCTTCTTTTTCTCTCTCTTCTCTGAATGCACAAACTGTTGTTTCACTCCATTTTATCTTTCTCGACCGCTCAAAGGGTGGCAGATCTCCGGCATTGACCCACTTTTCCGGTAACCAGTCACCCTGATTTCATCTTGTTTACCAATTTAAATACTATTTTTTTTTCTGAAAATTTTTAATGTTCATTTTTTTGGGTGTTGTGGAAATTTGCAGACTGAACTGTAAATCACAGTTATATCAGCTGAAGAATGATCAGTTTTTTTGCTTTTTTTTTTTTTTTTTTTTGGAGGGGGGATTTTTACTGATTTTTGCAGCAATAAAAACAGAATAAAATTTGTTTCTTTGATTTTTAATTAATTTTTAATAAATTAAAAAAAAATTATATCGTTCTTCAGCTGGGTTGGAATGCTCTGATCTGAAAGATCTGCTACTTAATTAGCCCAAAATTTTATGATTCTGTGAATCTGGGCTAATTAAAATGCTTCAGCTGTAAATTAATTAATTAAAAAGATTTCTGGGTGTTTTTTTTTTACCATTTCTGTGAACAAATTCAGGGTATTTTTATTCCAAATTTATTGATTTAATTGCTTTCTTGTCTAAACAAATTTCCCCGAATTTGCAGGTTATAAAGGAAAAATGGGTTCAACCTGAAGGAGATTTTGCAGGAGAGCATAGTTTTGGGGAAGAAATAATTTTGGTCAATTCTCTCCAACAACCCATCTAACAAACACAATTTATTTTTTTATTTTTTTTTTATAAAAAATAAAAATAAGTGTTTTTTTTTTTTTTTTTTTTAGAATTTGGGTGAATTTCCCAAAGAGTTGAATGATGGAAAATTACAAAGGAAAATCAATTCCAACTGTAACAGATTTTGGTATAGAAGGGTCATGGATTCCATTAACCCCATTGAAGCCTCATCTTGGACCGATCTATGAAAATGGTGAAGTTGAGAATTATTTGTCAAGATTTTCTCAACAAAATGATCATGCTCAAACTCTTTTATCTTATTCAATTTCTTCTCAAGAAATCAATAATGGTAGTAGCAGTATCCCCAATAGCAGTAGCAATAACCATCACCAACAACACCACCTTTGGGATGATGGTAGTGGTAGATTAGTCAATAATTTACAGAGTAATAATAATGTAGGAGAAATGCAGAGAAGGGGTTTAGAGGATTATCTGCCTACTTGGAATAGCCAAGGTAGGAGAACAAAGGTGGCTTATCCTTCTACAAACCCGACAGTAGCGGCCGCAGCCATGGCGGCCGCTCAGAGTAGTAATAACAGTAGTTACCCTTACTTTAGTTCTTGGGAATCATCAATGCAATGGAGACAAAATGGAGTCGGAGACAGCGGCTCCTCGTCTGCTGCCGCCGCAGCTATGGATCAGTTTGAGAATATGTCATATACAAGTCTGTTAGCCAGGAATGATGCTTCTGGCCTGGGACTGGGAATGGGAAATGCAGCAGTTTATCAACAAGGTTGGGATTATAATCAGCCTCCTGCAGGAAATAATACCAACTTATATGGCAACCCAGTGTACAACCCGATTTTTGGAGGAGAAATGCAAAATTGTAAGTTTTCTTTTGTTTTTACAAAAGCTTTGATTATTAAATTGTTATGTGAAATGAGGTTGTTCTTTTTACCATTTTGCTCTGTATCTCACAACATCCTTACCACACATGCAGACCTCTATAAAGTGGTGGAAAACTTGGGAAAAAACAGTGATGAAGTTTGTTTTGTGATAAATATAAACGGGAAAAAAATTATTATTTTTTTATAAAAAAAAAGGCTAATTTAGTAGGCTGGGGGGTTTGGAGATTGCTAGATCTACCCACATATAAATTAGACATTAAAAAATTAGTGTTGTTAAAGTGGGATTGCACTAATCCTTCGTTTTAGAAAATTAACTATTTTTTTGATGTATGAGATGGGCAGACTCCAAATCATTTTGGGACTAAGGCTTGTTGACCGGGAGGTAGATAATGGTTTTTCTGTAGTATTTGGCCATCTGAATTGGCAAATTGACAAATTAAAAATATATTGTATACGTAGTATATTTTTCGAAAAAAGAAAAAGGGAATACGGTGAATGGATTCTATGCTTGCATATATAATCTCTACTTTTATATTCTAAATACCCTTTTGTTGGATATTACTGTTCTTAACATTTCCACAAGCTGATACTAAGCAATGGTGTGTTGTAGGTGCTTCTCCTCAGCAGTACCAGAGTGTTTATGATGCCAACTCTTCTCAAATCACAAAGCAGGCAAATGGAAATTATTCCAATTTTGCTCCTGCAACTCCAGATTCTCGGTGGAGAATTGACAATAATGTGGCTCCAGGGAACTCACCTTTTGACACTTTTCAAAGACCAAATGAGCAGAACCGGTTGCCGGAGCAAGTTGAACAAGTTGCTGCTGCAGCGATGATCAACCTTCAGACTGTTCATGAAGAAGTCGCTGTTCCCAATACAGAAGAATCATCACCTGGTAAAGTCTCCATAACAGAAGAGAATCACAACCCTGACAAGGGAGGCGACCAAGTTATTGACCTGAACAAGACGCCAATGAAGAAAACTCGGCGAAGAAAGTACACACCGAAGGTTGTAAGCGAAAAGAAGCCTAGACAGACTCCGAAACCCAAAACTCCCAAGCCCACTGATCCCAAGGAGAATGCACAAGTTAAAAGAAAGTATGTGCGGAAGAATAAGGTGAACACACCTTCAGCAACTCCTCTAGAAAGAGAAGCTAAAGCAGGAGAGCAAACACCTGCAGGAGCAACTGAAGCAGGAGAGTTAACACCTACAGGAGAAACCGAAGGAGATTCAAAACCATCGGGACTTGTCACCAAGTCCTGCAGAAAATCCTTAAACTTTGACTTGAATGGACAAGCAGCAGAAAGTAACTTTCCTCATATGTCAAATGAATATTTGTATTCTGAGCCACAGCCAAACAAGGGTGACAATGCAGATACTCTTAGACAGGGAGAAGAATTGATGGTGGAAACATCAAGGGTGTGCAATGGTTATGACCTTAACTATACCCACACTCAGGAACTCAAAAATCACTTCTCACTTCCCACAAAAGACTACCAAAATAGTGCACAGCCTGACCTTATTATCCTCTCAGGGGGGAAAGATGAGGCTCGTCACAATTTGTCAGGGAACAACGATGAGGTTTCATCCAGAAATGATGCTCGTCTGGCACAAAGTCCCAATTCAAGCCCTTGTGCAAGTTCCAACGAACAGAAAAATACAAGAGGATCAAAGAGGAGAAATCCCTGCATGACAGATGTTGCCACTGGAAGTGTGGATGCTGCCACTCACTGTGCCTTATGGCAGCAAAACCGCACAATTTCTGGAAATGCTATAATTGGAGAACTTCACACCTTTCTCTTTCCCGAAATTTGCAAGAAAAAGAGAACTGAGAAGGTACAAAGGACACACATATCAAGCATGCCATGTACTGCTGCTCCATCTGGAGATATCAACCAGGAAGCCGGCACTCATAATCATCCAAGAGTTGATTCCACTGCATCAAAGTACTACTGCAACCCTGCTTCTTATAGAGTAAATGCAATGTCTCATAATCATGCCGGGTTACTTATGGGAAGTGTTGAGAACAGGATGCAGCTATTGAATACTTGGGCTGACATGGGAAGGTTGAAGAAAAAGAGATCAAAAGGTATTACTCGTGTTCGTGATTTGGCCCCACTGATGGGACTTTCATCTGTCTTACCTCCCAAACCAGGACCCAAAGGTCCTCGCAAAAAGAAAATTGATGCTTCAGAACATGGTTACACTGAGGCCCTAGAAGCTGCAAGCACATCAAACCCAAGATCAAAGAGGACATCTAGGAAATCCAACAAGCAATGGGACCTCGTCTTGTATAATGCTAATCAGTCTGCCAGAAAAGCAACAGGTAAATATTAGATAATGGGGTGTTCTGCATCCTCCAAAATGGAATATAACTCTTTATTTTTTAATAGATGGAATATAACTCATTTTTCCACTTGCTGCAGGTTCTATTCCTGCACTACCATGGGCAAGAACCAGCTCCAGCTCCATTGAAGAAATAACTGAAGGAATGAAGCTGCTGGATATCAACAGAGAAGGTTACAGCACTCCACTTCTAGAACGGAATGCACTGGTCCCATATCGGGCAAAGAAGCAGGCCAAAAATGCGAGAAATGCACTAGTTGTTTATGGGAGAGATGGGACTATGGTGCCATTTGATGGTCCCTTTGATCCTGTTAGGAAGAGGTGTCAACGAGCTAAAGTTGACCTTGATGATGAGACCACTAAAGTGTGGAGACTTCTTCTCGAAAACATTGACAATAAAGGTGTTGATGGAACTGATGAGGATAAAGCAAAATGGTGGGAAAATGAACGAAGTGTTTTCCATGGGCGTGTGGACTCATTCATAGCCCGCATGCGTCTTGTTCAAGGTATGACTTAAAATCCTTTTGATCTATCTATTCTTTATGTTTCATTATAATAGATACCAATATGATTCTTTCTAAAGAAAAGAAAATACGAATCACAAAGAGAGAAGCTCAAGTACATTCCTAAAGGGCTGGCTTGCACGATTGTAAATCCCAAACTAATACTAAAGCCTTTCAATTGAAATTTAGAACTTTAAACATCTCCGAGTCCAAAGTCTAATACAATTTAAACCTTGATGCTAACTTTTTTACAAGACAATGCAACTTTGCAGAATAAAGAATAAACATATACTACCGACTCAAAAGTTAATATAAGGTATTAATTATTTAGCAAAAAGATGTAAACACATTTATATGCTAATAATTATGTGTTGCAACTCCATCAGCTTTGAGCCTATGAATACATTTCGTTCAGTGTGAGTAGAGATTAAGCATTATCCGTTAATCAATTTTCAATTTAGACATGCATCATCATCAATAATGATTGAATTCATAACACGGGTTTCAAAGCTTAGAAACTTACATAAAAGCTGAAATTATAGTATACCATAATTTACCTTCAGCCAAGAGTAATGAAGTTGGTCACTAACAACATGTTTGCTTTATACAGGAGATAGACGCTTCACTCCTTGGAAAGGATCTGTTCTGGACTCTGTTATTGGAGTCTTTCTTACTCAGAATGTATCAGACCATCTCTCTAGGTAAGACCATGCTGAAATAGAGAGATCATTATATTCCACTAAGAACATGCTTGGGTAGGGGTAAAGAATAAAAAGGTTAAATAGACAAATAACAGAGCAGGTAAATGGGTGGAAATTGTGATTGATTAAAGAGGGATCCAGAAATTAATACCCTTTTGGGGGGATTATTATTACTCTGAGGAGGGGGAGTTATTACCCATCTTCCCTCTATCTCTTCCTCCTCCCTTGTCAAACACCACTTCCACTCATCTTCCCTATTTAATTTAGTTGTCATCCCTTGAATTCTTAATTCTACTTTAATCATGCCCTGAATGAGAAGTATCTTAAATCTTGTTTGATTGCAGTTCTGCTTTCATGGCAATGGCCGCTCATTTTCCCCTCAAGTCAGAAGGAAGTGAAAGCAACCTTTCAGAGGAGTCAACAACTGCTTTGGTTGTTGAGCCAGATGTTTGTATAATTGAACCAGAGGAAAGCATTACTTGGAACAAGAAGACAGTAGATCAGACAATTTTGAATACTAGGATTATCCATGAAATTGACCATAGTGAAGAGAAGGTAGTTGTCAATAGCAAAGAATTGACTGGAAGAGCTCCTGGTTCAGTTAGCCCGAAGGACTACTCCAGTGAAAGCAGTGAAAAAACCCCCAATAACTCAATAGTCGATAATGCTAATAGCCAGACTACAGAGACAGAGACAGCAAGTGCCTTAGGAGATGATAGAGCAAAAGATGATGCAACTTCATCACAACACTCAGTAGTGTCATCCCAGAACTCCATCAACTCTCCAAATCTGCAGACTGCTGGAACCATGAGCATCTTTTCAGAGAACTATATAAATACACAGCCTCTAATAACTAGCTCCCAATCCAATTATTTTGATTGTTCCACCCCATTTCTGAGTTTACTAAAGATGGCAGAGAGTCCCTTCCTTAATGAATCTTACAGTCAAACCCAACAAGATCCACTAGAGTGCATCAATCATGTAACAAAAAGTTCTCCAGAAGCACAAGGAATCTGCTCAAACGACCAGTTGAATCTGAATTTTCAATTACCAGATGCAGATAGCAGATCTCCCGATACATCAAGAAAAGATGAGAACAGCTCACCAACAGAACAAAGCAATCTGACTACAGAATCAACAGTGCAACAACTTACACAAGAGAAAATTTCAGATAGCATTCCAAGATCTTTTCCAGAAAATATACGCTCATTTTATGTTCTTGAGGGTGATAATATGGTTATGCAGTCACAAAATCAGTTGGCAAAGGAACCATCAGATAATGCTTCATCTGCAAATGTTCAAACAAGTTCAAATTGGAAAGGAGCAAACTTGAAAAATCAAGTAAATGCTGATGTTACTGAAAGTACTGCAGAATTGAAAAGGGCGAACACTGATAAAAAATTAGTTGAAAAAATCTCAGTACAGACATATGCAGCAGGTGGATTGTCAGAGATAACAAATGCAAATTCTAGCAAACCTGGTAAAGGAAAGGCAGGAAAGGTAAAGGCTGATGCATTTGACTGGGACAGTTTGCGAAAACAAGCAGAGCCTAATGGTATAAAAAAAGAAAGACCAGCAAACACAAGGGACTCTCTAGACTGGGAAGCAGTAAGACATGCTGATGTGAATGAAATTGCTGAAACCATTAAGGAGAGGGGCATGAACAACATGCTTGCAGAACGGATAAAGGTGACATCTTATTAATCAAATATTTGGCTTGTACAAGTTTTGTCTAAGTTCAATCCCATAAATTGTTTGCATCATTGCTAATCCCAAATAATTGTACAGGCTCTATTGGACAGGCTGGTCAAGGATCATGGCAGTACTGACATGGAATGGCTGAGAGATATTCCCCCAGACAAAGCAAAGTAAGAGAATTAATCAAATAATGAAATGCCTACATAATAACAGCTAATTTTATGCTTCGTGCTTAATTATGTAACAATTAATGCTAATACATGAATTCCATACACTATTGTAAATTTACATTCTACTTAAACAGTCATGACATAAACTACCACTAACCGCATAATGCCCAATTTCTTGTTAATGATTCAGAGAATACCTATTGAGCTTTAGAGGGTTGGGATTGAAGAGTGTAGAATGTGTGCGACTTTTGACACTGCACCATCTTGCTTTCCCCGTAAGTCTACATCAATTTCATTCAAAAATAATTTTTTTTAGAAAGAATTATTTCATACTGACTGGGGGCTATATTTATTTAGGTTGACACCAACGTTGGACGAATAGCTGTACGGCTAGGATGGGTTCCGCTTCAACCCCTACCGGAGTCGCTTCAATTGCATCTTTTAGAAATGTAAGTTGTACAAAGTCAATGTTTACTACAGTGTTAATGACTCCTTTCAAAAGATGTTTTAACACCATTTGCTGCATCAGGTACCCTATCTTAGAGTCCATTCAAAAGTACTTGTGGCCACGGCTTTGCAAGCTTGACCAAAAGACTTTGTAAGAACAATATTATATTGATGTTATTTTTCTTTTTAATTTGATTATTGCATTCATTAATTTAATGAATAAAATTTAACCATTGGTAAATGTCATTATATGTGATTCAGGTATGAATTGCACTATCACTTGATCACTTTTGGAAAGGTACATTGATATCGAAAAAGCTTCTTAGCGTTTGTTTTCGTTAATAGATCATAACAGGATTATATTGTAATACACGCAGGTATTTTGCACCAAAAGGCAGCCTAATTGCAATGCCTGTCCCTTGAGAGGAGAGTGCAGACATTTTGCCAGTGCATTTGCAAGGTTAGTATTCCATCTGATCTAATCAATTTACCTTACAAGGTATTGAACAATAGGCATCAAGCGGATGGTTGTAACAGCTGTCAGCTTCCTTGGAAAACCTCTTTATGAACTTGGAACAGAGCAGATTGCCACTAGACACTTTTATCTGCAAACCCTACCAACACCATAAAAGAAATGAGAATGAAGTTAGAGATATTTTATAGTCGTTATAAAAATAATTACACAAGCTTTAAGCTAGGGTGAAACATATACAAGCATTATCCTAGGACAAAACACACACACTAGAGGGTGAAAAGTATACAACTACAGACTCAAATCTCATACGGCACCTTATATATATATATATATATATATATATATATTAAAAAAAATAATAATAAAAAAAATATATATGTTATAAAAAAAAAAGAAAAAAAAGAAGGGATTTTCATGCCTAGGGTATAAACTCAAATTTCCAAGGTACCGGATCGTGAAACAGTTCAATAGAACTGGATGGATTATAGAAAAACTATTTGCTTGCACTGCAAATTAGTATTGCCAAACAAGTTTCCAAATTATACGTAATGCTACTAACTACCTTGTAACCAAACTTTTATAATTGGGTAAATATTTATTGTTGGCTGCAGTGCTAGATTTGCCCTTCCAGGGCCAGAAGAAAGAAGCATTATGCCTTCAAGTGGGGGCAGTTCAGCACATCCAAATCCACAAGCTAGCACCAATTTTTTGCCTTTGCCCCCCTCTTATTCACAAAGCAACTGCAATAATGGTGCTCATCCAAGTGCAGTTTCATCTTCCCCACTGGCACTACCCTCGCCACAGACAATCAATCAACTAGAGAGGCAATCTGAAATTAGGAACTGTGAACCGATAGTTGAAGTACCAGCATCACCAGAACCAGAACCAGAGCAGGAACATACATTATGTGATATTGAAGACTACGAAGATCCTGATGAAATACCTACAATTAAGCTCAATATGAAAGAATTCTCTCGAACTCTACAAAATTACATGGATGGAAATTCAAATGCTTTGGTGGCATTAACACCTGAAGCTGCTTCAATTCCAACACCAAAGCTCAAGAATATTAGCCGACTGAGAACAGAGCATCATGTGTAAGTTAACAACTCTACCCTGCAGAGTATTGCTGTAGTGCTTTCTCCTTTTAAATCAATGAATATTTGAATTTTACTGTAACATAAAAACAAAATTTCCTAATCTAGGTCAATAATTAAGGCAAGTTGGATATAGTATGAAAATTATAGTTTTCACACCTGTTTTAGCTGGTGTATATGTTTAAGAATTAAACAGAAACCAAACAGCTATTTTTCATGCAAACTTCTAGCTACACTCTGCTTTCAACTGACAGTATGTGATTCAAGAAAATTTCATTTAAAGTCAAGTCCCTTCTCAAGAAATATATGACTGTTTTCTATGTAATAGATTTAGTTCCACTAACTGTCTTCTGAATGACATTTGCAGCTATGAACTTCCCGACGCACATCCTCTCTTGAAAGGGGTAAGCTAATTATAAATTGCATTATCTATGTACACTTTTTACCTTGGTTACTTTCTCATGATAGCTGCACAATTGCAGTTGGACAAAAGAGAGCCTGACGATCCATGTTCATACCTACTTGCAATATGGACTCCAGGTAAGTACAATTAGTGTACATATATTATCACGGTGATTCTACTGAGGATAGTCAAGGGGGCTAGTCCTGTTCCAGTTTTCATCTCACTAACTTACTTGTGACATACTAATTGATGCCCAAAATAGGTGAGACTGCAAGCTCTATTGAACCTCCTGAAAGAAAATGTCATTCTGAAGATCCCAGCATATTGTGCAATGAGGAGACATGTTCTTATTGCAGCAGTCAGCGGGAAGCAAACTCCAAGACTGTACGGGGTACACTTCTGGTAAGAGATCAGATATTTTGTATACCTTCATTTGTCATACATGTCATGTAGAGTACTAAATCTTGCCACAATCCATTATTCAGATACCATGCAGAACTGCAATGAGAGGCAGCTTCCCACTGAATGGAACATATTTCCAAGTGAATGAGGTATGTTCAGTCAATTGGGTTCATCAGAACATTAAATCTTTTGCTGCTCATTCTCCCATACTTAGCTTATTAATCGTATGCAGGTATTTGCTGACCATGAATCCAGTCTTAATCCAATTCCAGTCCCCAGGACTTGGTTATGGAACCTTCCAAGACGTACTGTTTATTTTGGAACATCAATTCCAACCATATTTAGAGGTACTGAAAGAAAAATTGTTTGAATTCGCATGTGTGGGTATTCTTCATTCTAATTTCTAAACTTTTCGCCCAGGTCTGACCACTGAAGACATTCAACATTGCTTCTGGAGAGGTATCCAACTATGGCAATGAATCCTTGAGCAATATAATCACATATATTTCCCTCTCCTGTAATTCTTTCCATTTCACCACACAGCTAGAAATATAAATGAAGAGAAATATATTTTTGACATAAATATAATCACTGCTCAGCTCTTACAATAAGGATAAAAAAAAAAACCACACAACTATAGTTCAAAGTATATTAAAATTTAGTTTGACTCTTTAAGAAGTTTGGAAAAAGTAACAACGTTAGCGGCCTTCACCTCCTACCACACCTTCTAACAGATGTGTATTCCCCTACTTGGCTGCCTCTATACGAGTAAGAGCAATGCACAATCTTCAATACAATAAACCCATTCTCAAGTATAAATCTCTTAAAGATGAACAGCCGACACTGAGTACACAAGAGACAATGTTCCTTTGTCCATCCCGCCCCTTAATTTACTAAAGAGCACTGAGAATTTTTTCTTCACTTGGTCGGCTACTTTCTAAGCTTCTATCTATCTTCCTTTATATGCACTAACACCTTACAACTTCCTTTCTAAAAACAGTCCTTTGCTTGCCCAATCATTAATTTGTGTTAGGCAGTTAAAAAGAGGCATGGGAATAATGTTAGTTCTAAGCTCATCTCTTAATTGTTGTTGACAAGAGCATCCTCCAACCATCATCCTCAACAATTTGCAACTACCTTTATTAGAAAGAAAATGCTATCACGTTCAAACTTCAATACTACCTTCTTTGTGCCATGTCAACATCATTAATATGGTGGGGAGGGAATGAAAGGTTTTGAAAACCTGTTGTTTTTTTAGACACCAAATAATCTGCCCACCCCTGCATAGAATGAGGCAGTCTGTGGGAACCAAGGGGTGAGATTAAAGGACCTAAGTCTGCCTCTGTAATGCATCCACGTATCAGGAGCCAGGAAGACTAGATTCAGGGTTCAGTTTATGAAGCAGTTAAATACCCTATTTGACACTGTCACTGTTAAAACTTTTTTCTTCTTTCTCTCTATTCCAGTTCCCAGCCCCCACTAAGGTTCTTAGTGACGACAACATGCTTAAACTCATTTTTTTCGATTGCATATGAGCCTGACTTTGTGTTAGATTTAATAGAAATCAGTAATGCATAAACTGGATATACCTTGTTGGTACTTTCCATCATGAATAATCTCTAAAAGTAGAAGCTGCTTAAATTGTTGACATGGATTGCAAAACTTGGATTCTTGCACAAATCCAGTTATCATAATGGTTTTCAAACAGATTTTTAGCCCTGTGAACCTCATTTTGCATCATACTAAAATTTTATAGTTTTCCTGATTCAGCTATATTTTCATATTTCATATAACCTTTTTTGGAAAATAGTAATAAGTAACAAAATACTTTGTAGTAAAAAGTGATAGAAAATAGCTTATTGCAAATTTTGATAGTGTTTGGTAAATTAAAAATAATGAAAGTAATTTGAATTCTAGGGGGAAAATGCATAAATATGATTTAAGTGTGTAAAACTCTACGCACACCAACCAGTATATGAAAATTATATGTTCATGCTTAATTTTAATGTCAATGCAGGATTTGTTTGTGTGAGGGGATTTGATAAAAAACAAAGGGCACCTCGTCCACTCATGGCCAGATTGCATTTTCCAGCCAGCAGGATGACTAGAGGGGCAAAAGGTAAGACATATGATGAGTAGGTGACCATGTACTGACAATTGATGTCACAGAAATGTCAGTGAGGTTATAGAGGGAATAGCATCATATGGAATTAGGAAATGTATCAAGATAATGACCTTGTACATCATTTACATAGATTGTAGGCAATTTAAATTCATGCTCGAATTGAGCAAGTTTTCTGCAGCAGGAGAATATAGCACAGAATTGAGATCAACATATGTGAATACACTACTTCATGACAGACACATTGAGATAAGAAAGATGTTCTCAGTGAAAATTCAGCATCCGACAATGTTATGCAGTGTTGTCAAGACATAGTTAAATAGTGTATAGAATAACAAGTTGGTAAAAAAATTTAGCAGATAAATTATGTCAAATTGTACATCAGTTATAGATAGCAGATGAAAGCAACAAAGCTCTTGAAAAAACATTTCATTTTTTTGTGTCAAAAAAAAAAAAAAAAAAAAAAACAAATCATTTTCATGGGCTATGGCTTATAATGTTACACGTAGGTGAAACACAAAATTGTTAAATCTGAGTGAGAAAGTATCTTACCAGCAAATCCCGAAGTTTGTATGTTAGGTTGAAGTGATTTCCCTATCTTCTGAAAGGATGAATATCTGACAAGCTGCAAGCCTGCAACAGGGAGGACTTGGAGTTAATATCATCTAGCACAGTTAAAAACTTCAACGCATCCAACAAAATCATAAGCTCAACGCAATTGTCACTACACAGTAAATCAAGATGCAGTGGTACACGGATGCATGCAAACTAAATTGTATGCCATGATCTAACTTTGAGGTTAAAGTTTCAAATTAGCTTTTTGCTGAAAATCTTAGTTAAAAACCAACTAATAACGGTAATAAATAAGCAATGAACACGGTTAGTAAAAAAAGAAAGTTTGAGGCAAACCGTGGAAGACAGTAGGAAGCATATTTCACACATCACAATTGAAAACAAATTCACTGTGTTACCCAGACTCTTCATTATGACACGAGAAATGTTCACAATATAGTCATGTTACACACTTGGACAAGAACATGACAGGTTTAACATTGACAGAAGATCGAAACATCTGTCCAAGATAACCTGGTTTATAAACCAAGATAAACCTTGTTCTTTTTCTGTTTTTGAAAGGAGATAAGCCTTATTCTAGGTACACTAATGTGTGTAAGATGGTTTTTGCAAAAAGTCAATGCTTTTGCTTTCTGTTGTAAACATGATACTTGGAACCATAATCAAAGGCTCTATAAATATAATAACCATATGGGTTTCATGTATCCATTAGATATATTATTGAGAAAGTAAATAAAGAAAATGCATTCTACCTTTGACTGGCTTCTAAATTGGTTCAAAATTTGCCTCACATTCCGGGAAGATTCATCATTCAACAAGCCCCGAATCTGCAAGAAAATAAAAGATTAGTAGTTCAGTGAGTTCTCACTACCTAAACAATGCAACACAACATAGCCTGAGTTTCAATCATGTAAGATCGAGTTGCTACACAGGAACCAAGTGTCTTCGCGAGCAAAGATTCTAAACATTTGTAGCAACACACAAGCAACAAAAAAGAGCATAGAATCGAGCAAACAATTAGCTTAGTCTTACTAAAAACAACAGTACAGCCTTGATACTTTCCAAGGCACATTTAAAGTCTAGGTTTAGCATTGAATAGTATCAATTACTCCTATTACTCATATGTGTAACCGCTTATACACTTCACTAGCAAATTGCAACCCACCATCTCCACCACAAGGTAAATTTAAATAAATTAATTAAAGGCTATTTATTTTTTTTTTTTTTTTTTTTTTTTTTTTTTGAGTTTATCCCTTTTGTTCAACTGGTTCAGTTACTTCAGTCGCTGCCGCTGGCTTCATAAAAACCCTAGAAAACTTCGAATTCAAGTTGAAGAGATTATTTAATCGCTTCGGATTTTATTTGAACATTCAACAATGGTTAACTTCTAAGTTCTAACAGATTTAGTCGCCGCCTTTTTGACGAATTATAAAGCAAGCTTAAGCACAAATCTATAATGTTTGAGATTCAAGTCCACCAGATCATTAGAATACAAATTTTAATCGCCGTCTTTCCCACACAATAAAAGTAATTAACCTAGAATTTTAAATAAAATAAATAAATAAAGCAAACAAACAGACTGAAAGTCTAAAAATCAAATTGACCAGATCAATTAGTTGCATTAGATTCTAGATGAACCTTCAAAAATAGTGAACTTCACCGTCCAACAATATTTCTAGAAAATTCGAAAATCAAGTTAAACAGATCAATTAAATTGCTTCAGATTCAATATAAACCTCCGAAGTTAACAAAAATAAAACTGAAATAATCCAAGCATCAAACTGTAATATTTTCGAGAAAAATCAAACAACTTCAATTTGTTAAAAGTGCGATTATGAAATTAATGGAGGAATCAATCTAAAACGAAAATCGAAGTTTTGGAAATCGAAAATCGACATACGCACGTACCTGCTCGTGTTCTGGTAGAAAGGAAAGAAGACGAAGACGCCGCCATTAGAGTGATGAGCGGAGGAGAGAGAAAGAGAAGTGAAGGGAAGAAAAGAGCGATTTTGAGGTTTTAATGAGTTTTGCCGCTCTTTTTTTATTTTCAAGTTCCCTCCAACTTTTTAAAGCCCGCCATGGATTTGTGAATTTTGGACGCGGAGAAGACGGTAATTTGAGGTGAGTTTTGTCTCTTTATTTGAGTATTGATGACTGAAAGTTGTAGGGCATGTTCGACAATCTTTTTGGATAATTTTTTATATTTTTATCGAGTTAAAACTTTATCGGATTTTATTTTTGGGTTCATAATTTATTCTCTTCATTTTTTAAGTGATATTTTCTTCGTATATTCTTAGCTGCACATTGGTACAGCTAAGCTGGCTGCACCACCCTCTAAATACAATTATGGAGTATTTTCTAGTAAAATACACCCGACGTTTATCTTCCTCCTTCAATACTTGTTGATCCAAATCATCCATTGCTCCATATTCTTCCTTCCATAATTTTAATACTTTTCAAATCTATATTTTGTTTCTTATTTCATTTTTTAGTGCTTAATTAATTAATCAAGCTATTGAATGATGATTCCTTACAAGTCACGATGAATTGCTTTCTCCAATAATTTCTCTCTCCTCAAGTACTTATTTCCCTTTCTCCTCAAATATTTCATTTATAATTGTAATTTGCATGATTGTGTTGATCTTTTTGAGTTTTTGTTTAATTATTTGAATTCTTATGAATTTGTAATAATTATTAATTAAATGGTTTAAACAAAAAAAGAGAGAGAGATAGATGATTTTGGTAATTTCCTCTCTCCTCTTTTTTATAGTCATTTTATTCCCAATTATGTTATATAAAAAAAATAATAAAATAAAAGGTGTACTCCGTATCAGTTTTTACCACATACCACTGAGTTAAAGCTTAATTCACTATATACCACCAAAAAACTTTCTAATACATCAAATACCACTCAGTTAATGTGCATTAACACAAAATGCCTTTTCTAGTAACTTCCTTTAGTTTGCCGTTTAGAGTAATTTACCATTATGCCCTTATACATCCAACTGGCGCCATTGATAGGGTTGACTCCCCCAAACATCACATTTCCACTTCGAAAAAATTGACCCCCATTTCCCCTTTCCATTGAAGCGTCTCTGTGTTCTTCTCCATTAAAGTTGAACCCCAAAATCAATCAAAAAGCTTCAAACTTTCTTTGATCTAAGGTGTACATTGCTACTAGGACAGTAAATTGGGGCTTTCGATTGAACAAAGAAGCAGCTTGGTGAGGTTTGAGAAAGAGAAAGGTGTACGTTACTGAATTACACTCCTAATTCGCACCTGGGCTCGATTAAGCTTACGCAAGGTAATATTGTCCTTATCAATTGGTTTTCGAGCTTTAATTTTGTTGTTTTTTTTTTGTGAAGTTGAGTTAGGGTTAGGGTTTATTCGACAATGATTATGTTAGTTTGGTTGTTATGATATTAAGTTCGAATTTGAATTATTTAGGTTAAGTTTGATGTGTTGTATGCGAATTGTTTGGAGTGTGATGTTAAATGTTGATGTTTATTATTCATTCTTAGGATGAGTGCACTGTGGTTGTTAGTTTGTTCGCTAGGTGGTACTTTTGATGTTAGGGTGGATGACACTGATAAGACCAATTTGATGGAGTTATTTGAGTATATGTTTGAGGATTTAGTGAAGCAGTTTTCATCCCTAAATACTTCACCTTGTTTGTGAGTAAACTTAGAACTAATCATAAGTTAGAGTTAGTTGATGATGGGGCAATGTTGAAAATGTGGGAGTGGAATGAATAGAAGGATGAAATAGAATTGTTCATAGAAGAGACAGGACAACCATCTATTGTGTTCCAGTCTGCAGAAGTTAGTTAGACAAGAACTTTGAAGAACAAGGCTGAACAAATTAGGCAGAAGGAGGAAGAGAATAGGTGTAATACCTCGTATTTTTATACGTATTTTATTTAAAATATGTATTTTATAAAGGTATTTAAATAATTTTAATATTTTAATTATGGTATTTTAATTATTTATCCTATATAAGTTTGGAAATATTTTTTATTAAAGGAAAGTTTGTTTAATTATTTATTTTATAAAGTTGGGGTTTTATTTTAGGAAAGTATGATTTTAACAAGTTTTATTAGAGAAGGGATTAGGAAAAACTAAAAGAGGAAATTTTAGGGTAAAATGGGTGGAAGAGAAGGGGTATAAATATCCCTCTTATGAGGCAAATCAACTTTGCTCAGAGTGGAGAAAACCCAAGGTAACTTCTCTCCCTTTTCTCTTTATTTTTTTTTCTTTTTTTCCTCTTTTCCCTTCCCCTTTTTGCACGGCCGGACCACCACTGCGCACCACTGGCGCACAGCCAGTAGCCGCGGCGGCACAGGCAGGGGCGGCAGCAGCCCAGCCGTGCCGTGGTGGCTGCTGCCGCCACTTGCAGTTCCCGAAAAAAAAAACTTTCTTGTTTAAAACTAATCTATGCTTAAATCTATTTGTTAATTATGAGTTTTGGGATTTAATTTTGATGTTTGATTATAATAATTATGTTGATTAATTTTCAGATTTTGTTTTTAATTAAAAAAGCCCCAATTTTTGAAACCCTAGATTCTTGATTTATGAATTATTGAAAAAATATGATGTATTACGGGTTAGATATTCGATTAAAGTGTTTTAAGACTAATTTACAGCAAGTTTTAATTAAAATAAAGTGCTGGAATTTTATGTAGAGCACTTAATATTATGTTTCTTGAAGAAATTTCAATTACCCATTAATTCACTAGTAAAATTCGGCTAAATTGCGACCGTTTTTCTACGACCGTCTGGAAAACGGTCGCAAATTATGAAATTTACGACCGTTTTTTATGCGATCGTAATATTACGACTGCTTTGACAACGGCCACAAATTTGCGACCGTTTTGCGACCGTTTTTAGCCTTTTAGACGGTCGCTAGGATGTTTGAACCATTAAAAATAATTCTAAATTAAATTAAATAGTTTGCGACCGTCAAAGACGGTCGTAAATGTCATAATCTGCGACCGTCAAAGAGACGGTCGTAAATGTCATAATCTGCGACCGTCAAATAGACGGTTGCAAATGTCAGAATATGCGACCGCCTCTAAAACGGTCGCAGATTTCTAATTTTGCGACCATTTTAGCGGTTGTAATTTTTTTTATAATTTTTAAAATAGGGGTATATAAGGGATGAAAACTTACACTAACCCTAATTTTTTCACAGCCGCTACTCCTCCTTCATTTTCTTATCTCCTCTCTTTCCTTCTCACGTTCCTCCTCTCTCTAATTCTCTTTCTCTTTCTCTAAATTTCCTCCCGTACTCTTTCCTCTTCTCCTTCTCGTTTTCTTTCCACACTTTCCTCCATCTCTGTTTCTTTGTTTCTTCTTCATTTTATCTTGTTCTTAGGATTTCTGTCAACTAATGAATTGTGGTGTTGTAGTTTCGTCAAAGTTTGGTATTAATGGTCAAATTCGACCATAAAAATTCCAGATCTGGAGTTTTTATGGTCGAATTTGACCATATAAACCTAAAGAGGAGGAAGTTTTGTGAAAGGTATGTGTTTCTTCTTTGAATTTTTATTATATTTCTATTTATTCTCAATTTTTGTTGTTTTATTTTGTTCTCTAATTTCCATGATTGTTCATTTTTTTCCGATTTTTGTTTGTGTTTTTGTTTGAGTTTTGGTTCGATTTTTGTGTGTTTTTGTTTGAGTTTTGGTTCGAATTTTTGTTGATTTTGTTCAAATAGTGGTTCAATTTTTGTCGAAATTGTGTGATAGTTCGAATTTTTGTGGGTTTTTTTGAGTTGAATTTTTGTTCAAATTTTTGCTTAGTGTTTGTGGGTTTGATTTGTGTTCGTATTTTTTTCTGATTTTTATTTAATTTTGGTGCATTTTATTTGTGGGTTAAATTGTTTTGATTAATTTATGTTGTTTTTTTTTTCGAGTTTTTGTTTGATTTTTGTAAATTTGTTCGAAATTATATGGGTTGTTTTTGTTGGTTTAATTAGATGTTTTTGTTGGTTCAATTTCTGGGTTAATTTTTTTTATATAAATTTATGTTTTTTTGGGTTAAGGGTGGGTGGGTGGTGGTGGGTATTAATGGTTGAAGGTGGGCGAAGGTGATGGTGGGTAGAGGGCGGGGGCTAGTGGTTGTTTAGGGTGGGCAGTGGTGATGGCTTGGGTGGGATCTAGTTTCGATGGATCTGGGTCAAGGGTGAGTAGGTGATGGGTCTGTTTTCTTTTTTTTTTTTGTTTTTTTTATAACTTTTAGCGACCTTTTTTTTTTGTTTTTTTTATAACTTTTAGCGACCGCGGTCGCTAATTTCAAGATTTGCGACCGTTTCATAAAGTGGTCGTAATTATTAATATTTCCGAAACAAAATTCGAAAAAATTCCATTTTTCGTTGAAAATAGTAAAAACGGTCGCAAAAAATCTGCGACCGTCAAACGGTCGTAATTTTGTTTTTTTGCGACCAAGAGAATAACGATTGCCATGTTACGACCTTTAACGATCGCAATTATGTTTTGCGACCGATTTTGCTATTTTCTGCGACCGTTTGAGGTGGTCGCAATTTGGCTAAATTTTAGTAGTGAATTGGGACTTAAGTATGGTGTTTTAAATATAATTTCAGCTTATTTTAATTAAACTATGGGGGTTTTCTTTTATAATAGTATATATAGCTGGAAATTTTTTTAGAGTGGATTTTAATACTCTATTATGATTTTAATATGTAGGAGACTTTGAAGTAAGCAATTTCTATTAGTCGTGGCGATTTTAAGATCGTACTCAAGGTACGTTCGCGTACTTAGCATATTTTGGTGATGTAGTATCATGTTAGGCTTGATTTCAATAAATTACAAGTAGTATCATGCTAAGCTTTATGTATGGAATTGTGAATTATTGGTGTTGGTGACTGAATTGTGAAGCATGAATTATTTGTGATGGTTTATGGATTGGGAAATTATATTTTTGGCATGATTATATGGACTATACTTTTATTTATGGCATGATAGAATGCATGTTTAGTTAAACTATATGTTTAATTTGGCTTGGAATATTAAAAAGGAATTTTATTATGGTTCATATAATTTTTATTGATGCTTTAAGCATGAGGAAGGAGCTATATGAGTGTCTATGTACACAAGGAATAAATTGTATGTTGGTGCCTTTGTGCACTTAAGGTGTTTTTAACACCGAGGGATAGGATTTTTGGCGCTTTATGCGTTTAAGGTGTCTTTGACACTGAGGTAGAATTAAAAAGGGTTCAACATTAAATATTATGTGGTCACTAAATATTCAAGAATTAAATTGGTATGTTTGTTGATTGAATAGTTGTTGTTGATTGAATTATTATGCTTTGAGAGTCGTCACCAAGTCTAATAATATGTAAATAACGTAAAGTGAAAAAGATTACGCACCAAAACTCTTGGAAAGTATATACCTTGAGTATGAACATATAGGGGGAGTTATGTGACTTTATATTTTATCATAACTTCTAATAGAGTACATGACGTTGTACATTCCTTTTTATCTATTATTATGCGCTG